AGCACTTTGGGAGGCCGAGACGGGCGGATCACGAGGTCAGGAGATTGAGACCATCCTGGCTAACACGGTGAAACCCCGTCTCTACTAAAAAATACGAAACACTAGCCGGGCGAGGTAGCGGGCGCCTGTAGTCCCAGCTACTCAGGAGGCTGAGGCAGGAGAATGGCGTGAACCCGGGAGGCGGAGCTTGCAGTAAGCTGAGATCCGGCCACTGCACTCCAGCCCGGATGACAGAGGGAGACTCCGTCTCAAGGGAAAAAAAAAAATTTTTGTATTAAAAGTTTTTAAATATTTTTCTTATTTTTTAAAATTCTTTGATTGTTTTGTCTACTTTGGTACACCCTTGTAAAACATGTACTTTGTCTTTATCTTTCAAGCTAAACTGCATTTAATCTGAAAGTATTTAAAATATTTTCTTCATATTATACTTTAAGCTGTGTGATAACACATTGAAGTTGTTTAAGGTGGCCACAGATAATAGGTGATTTTTCCATTATGCCAATGAGAAAATATTTTTTCAATTTTGAAGAGGGCCAACTTTAATATATAAACTTGTATAGATGTACATAATGTGGATCACTGTCTAGCTTTAATTTTTAATTTAGTTACATGTTCCTATTTAAAACTATATAAATTATATAAAATAATAATTATAAGTATTGCTATTCCACTGTCACAATTTATAATTTTATTAAATTGTATATACCTCTTTGACATCAGTAGCTTCCTCTTTACTGGAACTACTTTTTGAGTCATTTGACAGGTTTTTGGTTTTATTTTCTGAGACGAACTCTTGCTCTGTCACCCAGGTTGTAGTGCAGTGATGCAATCTTGGCTTACTGCAACCTCTGCCTCCCAAGTTCAAGTGATTCTTGTGCCTCAGCCTCCCAAGTAGCTGGGATTATAGGCATGTGCCACCATGCCCAGCCAATTTTTGTATTTTTAGTAGAGACTGGGTTTCATCATGTTGACCAGCTGGTCTTGCACTTGTGGGCTCAAGCAGTCTGCCCACCTTGGCCTCCCAAAGTGCTGGGATTACAGGTGTGAGCCACCACACCCGGCCTCATTTGAGTTTTTAAGAATAGGTCATTGTCTGTGTTGTTTGAGATTTATTTATTCATTCATTTTGTTTTTATTTTTTTATCCAAAGCCACATACTTCTGAGATTTAGTGATTTTTGAATCTGTGTATGAATCTGCCCTGGAAATTTTATCCCAAGGCACAAGTACTCATATATGTAATGCTGAAAGAACAAATGTAGTTTTTTCCTTTTTATTTGTCTTATCTGTGTCATTTGACATATTTTTTTGAAAGGTTTACTTGAAAAGGAAATATAACATTTGCAATTGTGAGGTCATTCCCTAAGAATAATTAAATCTATGTTAAATTTTTATGCTTCTCTTTTTAATTGAATCAATCAAGTGGTCTTGCTAAGCATTCAAAAGTAGCGCTGGTTTGAAGCTCATGTCTTTCCCAAACCTTAGAATGAAATAATTGAGAGTGAACTATAATAGAATAGACTTTAAAGGCTCAAAAACAAAGCCATTGCCTCATTTCTAAGGGATAGTTTGGGGTAAAAAATTAATTGCCGTAGATTTGAGAATATAGAGTACATGGAAGTAATAAAGTAGGTAGTGGGAAAAAACTGGTAGAGATACAAAAGAGCAAAGCACACCTTGAATGTCATCTAGCTGTGCTGTAATTAACTTTTGGAAACTAGTTTATGACTTTTCTCCGTTTCACTGCAGGTTTATGTTTGTGCTGTGTGCCAAAATGTTTTCTGTGTGGACTGTGATGTTTTTGTTCATGATTCTCTACACTGTTGCCCTGGCTGTATTCATAAGATTCCAGCTCCTTCAGGTGTTTGATTCCAGCATGTACTATACATTGTATATGTTAAAAAGAAATTTGCAACTGTGAATAAAATGACTTATTTAGAAGAAGCTTCATTTAAAACATGAAAGGATAATCTGACTTAAGAAACTTTTTGCTAAGAAAAGGTAATATTTTATTAAATTTTACATTTGTGTTCTGTCACAGAAATACCTGAAATTCAGTAGTACTTCATTCAATTAATTTTGTTTTCTATTAGAGTTATACTGTTTTCAAAGTCATTATGCAGTATGTATAAATTACTTATAATAATTAAATTGATGTGATAATTTTGTTTTTATAATTAAATATAGAATATGATTTATGTTAATTCATTAATTTAGTGTAAGAAGAAAGTTAAGTCTAAATGTAAATTCAGTGTAAGATGAAAATTTATCAATAGTTATGAAATTAGGCTGGGCACCATGGCTCAGGCCTGTAATCCCAACACTTTGGGAGGCCAAAGTGGGCAGATCACCTGAGGTCCGGAGTTCAAGACCAGCCTGGCCAACATGGTGAAACCCTGTCACTACTAAAGACACAAAAAAAAATTGCCGAGCATGGTGGTTCATGCCTGTAGTCTCAGCTACTTGGGAGGCTGAGGCAGGAGAATCGCTTGAACCCGGGAGGCAGAGGTTGCAGTGAGCTGAGATGGTGCCACTGCACTCCACCCTAAAGTGAGACTCCGTCTCAGAAAAAAAAATAAACAAGTTATGAAATTAATACATATGAAATTATGTACTGCTACATCCACCAGAGAGGTCTTTTTTGGTTTAACCAAACATTTGGAATATGTTTATCAAGTTAGTACATCTGAAATTATTTGTGGCTATGACCAACAGAAGTCACTTTAGATTAAACATTCAGACTCACAAGACTGCCATGGCCATACTTGGTACCCGCTTACTCAAAAGGATACTAAACAGAAACAACAGCCTGCCAGCGCAGCATCAAGTGGTCCTCATTAGCAGTGGAAGTCTTTGTAGCAGTCCACTGTTACAGTTTAGGTGCAAGGAGATAAGATCCTCCACAGGCATCAAGGAACCAATATCTCTTAACAATTCCATAAACAGAGCTTCCAGAGTATCCACAAGGGATGTGTCAATTTCAAGAGTCACCACACTCAGGAAAGCCTAAAGCTTGAAGTCTCCATTAGATTATTTATAGTGCATCCCAATCCAGATACCGTAACAATTACGAGTTATTTTTACTATAAGCAAAGTTGCCTAAAATCATAGTTGATACCAACCATGGTTAACAGAGCTCTAAAAGTTTGACAGAAAGTGAGATTCAAATCCTTTCACTCTCATATGCTAAACCTTCTGCTTTACTCTGGGTCATCAGAGAAATTTAGGTGAGAATGTATGATGAAGTCTGTGTTTTAGGTTCAATGCAGATATATCATTATAGGCAGAACTCTTTTCTGGTTATACCCAGTTAAGAGTAAATCAGGCTTTCATAGCAAAGGTATGTCTATTTTATGTATAGAAACTTCAGGTACTCTAGATTGAGTTTCACTATGAAATTTGTGACTTTTTTTTTTTTTTTTGAGATGGAGTCTTGCTCCGTCACTCAGGCTGGAGTGCAGTGGCGTGATCTTGGCTCACTGCAACCTCCATCTCCCGGGCTCAAGCAATTCTCCTGTCTCAGCCTCCTGAGTAGCTGGGACTACAGACGCCTGCCACCATGGCTGGCTAATTTTTGTATTTTTAGTAGAGATGGGGTTTCACCTTGTTGATCAGGCTGGTCTCCAACACCTGACCTCAGGTCATCCACCCACCTCGGCCACCGTGCCCAGCGGAAATCTGTGATTTTATAACTAACAATTTTTAGTTAAGAACATTATCAGTAAAGACAATGTAGTCCCACCCTGGAGAGTCTATTCAATAGATCTTCAGGGGAGCCCAGGAATATGCATCTTTAGTAAGTGTGTGTGCACATGCACACACATACACACACACACACAATGTGATTAGAGTAACAGGAGTTTCTCTCAGGAGTCATACTCCATGAGCCTAGACCCAGTGGTTCTTTAGGTGGACACAAATTTCAGCTATAGGTTACCTAGTAACTGCTATTTTCTTCCGTCTGCTCTGTCAACAAAGGTATCAGTGGCTTGCAGGAGATGCCTTTAATACTCTCAGAGCATTCTATCTCCCCCTATCTGGTTTAGAAGGAAGGCCTTCATTAATTACCTATTGAAAAGTTACTAGAACTCTCTGTTAGAGACTCACTCTCTTGACCTGATAAAAAGGGATATCCATGTCTCTGTTAACAGCTTTATCTCTTTCTACAGTTTTGGGTATTTGATAAGGTTAAGACAAAATTTTGGTTATGCTTGAGGAGGAGTTCTTTTTTCACAATTACAGAGAAAATTTTGGTTTGTTGAATATTGCAGAAATAGAAATGGTAATGTAAGACAGTTCTGGCCTTTAATTGTTTTCTTGAAACTCTACAGTATACTACAATATACAATATAGTGAAGGAAACTATTAACATGAGAGATCCTTCTGAATAGGATGTCTTTCTGAGTTCCACTGTTCAGTTACAAAACTCCTTAATGCTTAAAATTCATTATGAAAATTAGATTTATTTTAAATACTTTCAAGTGTATATATTTTTATTTCATAATTTTTATTCTGTTTGTCTTTGAACTAAAGCATTTAGTTCATTTATATTTACTGTGTACATTTTATATTTAATAAACAAATATATTTATTTATTAAAAGATTACCACTGATATATTTGGGTTTAAATTTATTATCTTTGTGTTATTGGTTCCAACAATTCCATCTTTCCTTTTTTTTTTAGTTTTTTTGACTGCATATTTGACACTATCTTTTCCTTCCTGCCTTCTTTTTGATTACTTACTTTCTACCATTCTGTGTTTTTCCTCACTAGTTTGAAAATTGTATACTTTGTTTTTATTCTTTCAGTGGTTACCCTAGAAATTACAACAAACAAAAATTACAACAAGAAATTACAACAAGAAGAATTTCTTTTTTTTTCTTTTTTTTTTTTGAGACAGAGCTGGAGTGCAGTGGCACGATCTCGGCTCACTGCAAGTTCTGCCCCCCAGGTTCACGCCATTCTCCTGCCTCAGCCTCCCAAGTAGCTGGGACTACAGGTGCCTGCCACCATGCCCGGCTAATTTTTTTGTATTTTTAGTGGAGACAGGGTTTCACTGTGTTAGCCAGGATGGTCTTGATCTCCTGACCTCGTGATCCACCTGCCTTGGCCTCCCAAAGTGCTGGGATTATAGGCATGAGCCACCACGCCTGGCCAACAACAATTTCTTAACTTAAGTCCCCTAGAAAGTAGAACCTGAGGCAAAGACGAAAGTATTGTTACTTTATTAGGAAGGGGCAGATCTAGGGGGGTGAGAGTGTGGAAGAAAAGGGAAAGCAAGGCAAGGAAAAACGTGATGCATTGCGTTACTGCAGTGGCTGGACTTCATGACAAGCTGTGACGAGATACAGGAGCCTCCCAGCAAGTGTGTTCACTTAGAGTGTGGGGCTTCTCCAGAAGGTTTATAAGGAGAAACTGCCCCTCTGAGCAGTCCATTGAAGGGAGGAGGGAGAAGTAACTTACTCTTCTTAAGTTCTTCCATTTCCCATTGATCCTAGTTTGCCCACAGGGCTGTGTCATATCCTGTGGTAACTGCTCAGGAAGCCAGATCTCGTGCTCAGTGGTGTGGCATTGCATCCGTCTCTAGAAGGATTTCTCAATACTTTATAACTTCCTTATGTTTGTGGTCATGTCTGTGTTCAGCTGTATCTCTAGAATGGCTGGCAAATTCGTAGCATGAAATGATTTCATGAGTGGTGACAAAGAAAGGGTGCAGTCAGCCCTTGGGGAGTGGGTGAGTGGAACCCCAGTCTGGAGGCCATTAGTGGGTGGCAGAGTTTAGGAGAAAAGGTAAGAAGTTTCAGTCCTTGGGCCCTGTTGTAAGGAGAAAAACGGTACAGGAGGTTGTCACATTTCTGAGAAGTAGTCTTAGAGTGCCCTAGTACCCGCTTTGGATCCAGTTCTGTAAGGGCAGAGGATTCATTATTTCCAGGTAATCTAAGTCTGTTCTGGGGAGAATTATTACAAGATGGACTGGGAACTCAACTGGGATCCTGAAGGGATTTAAATTATTGATTTCACCTGACTGAATTGCTATTTGTGTCACACCTCAGGACCCTGGAAACAATACATAATTTGCCCATTCATTCATTTATTAATTCACTCAACAAACTTGTACATCTGCCGTAAGTCTGACACAATCCTAGTTATCAGGAATGTAGATACTCAAAAGAAGTAAACCTAACCTCATGCATCTGTGAATCTCCCCATCTGAAAAGACACAGCCTTGTAAAGAAGCTTGTGTGAAAGTGCTAACGACATGCCAGGTGTTGTGGGGATGCAGGAGAGGCGTGGTAAAGTGAGTTGGGAGGCAGTTCAGATGTCTAAAGGGGTCAGGCAGACAATGCAGATAAGTGAAAGGGGGCCAGTTGATGCACAGTGGGGACATCTGGAAAGCACCCATCCCATCTAAAGGAGGCAGCCTCTGAGAGGCTGGGGATCAGGTATAGAAGGGAGATGTACTTTCACTGTAGATCCTTTTGTATCTTTTAAATTTTGTTACTTAATTCAGAAAAATGTAAAAATAAAGATTTTAAAGTGAGGTAACCATTATTTGGCCCCAGCCTATTTTTTTCTTCTGGGAATGATACTTAAACTAAAAATTGGAATTTTTTTTTTTTTTTTGAGACAAAGCCTTGCTCTGTTCCCCAGGCTGGAGTGCATTGGTGCAATCATGGCTCACTGCAGTCTCGACCTTCCAGACTCAAGTGATGGTCCCACTTCGGACTCCCTAGTAGCTGGGACCACAGGTGTGTGCCACTGTGCCTGGCTAATTTTTAAAAAAGGGTTTTTTTGTAGAGACAGCGTCTTCCTATGTTGCCCAGGCTGGTCTTGAACTCCTGAGCTCAATTAATCTGCATGCCTCCGTCTTCCAAAGTGTTGGCATCATAAGCTTGAGCCACCGTGCCCAGCCGTAAAAACTGAATTTTTAAAGTGAATTCTCCCAAGTTTGAGATGTTGGCATCTAATTTAGAAAAACACAAAGGCTAAATATCTTCAGGCCACCAGTTTACAAACTTTGGCCTGGCCTGTCTCTTTTCTATCACTTATCATCAGGGCAGATATTCTTATAAGTTTCAGGTGTTATACTTTCCTGGGATATACTCCTCTTAGGGGATTATTTATTTTTTTTTTTTTTTTGTTTTTGTTTTTGTTTTTGTGACAGAGTCTCGCTCTGTCAACCAGGCTA